CAAGGCTGTATATTGTCACCCTGCTTATTTAACTTATATGCGGAGTAAATCATGAGAAACGCTGGGCTGGAGGAAGCACAAGCTGGAATCAAGATTGCTGGGAGGAAAGATCAATAACCTCGGATATGCAGATGACACCACCCTTATGGCAGAAAGTGAAGAATTAAAGAGCTTCTTGATGCAAGTGAAAAAGGAGAGTGAAAAAGTTGACTTAAAGCTCAACATTCAGAAAACTAAGACCATGGCATCTGGTCCCATTACTTCTTGGCAAGTAGATAGGGAAACAGTGGAAACAGTGAGAGACTTCATTTTGGGGGGTTCCAAAATCACTGCAGATGGTGACTGCAGCCATGAAATTAAAAGACGCTTGCTCCTTGGAAGAAAAGCTATGACCAACCTAGACAGCATATTAAAAAGCAGAGACATTACTTTGCCAACAAAGGTTAGCCTAGTCAAGGCTATGTTTTTTTTTTAGGCATGTATGGATGTGAGAGTTGGACTATAAGGAAAGCTGAGCACTGAAGAATTGATGCTTTTGAACTGTGGTGTTGGAGAAGATTCTTGAGAGTCCTTTGGACTGCAAAGAGATCCAACCAGTCCATCCTAAAGGAGATCAGTCCTGAGTGTTCACTGGAAGGACTGATGTTGAAGCTGAAACTGCAATACTTTGGCCACCTGATGGGAAGAGCTGACTCATTTGGAAAGACCCTGATGCCTGGAAAGATTGAAGGCAGAAGGAGAAGGGGATGACAGAGGATGAGATGGTTGGATGGCATCACCAACTTAATGGACATGAGTTTGGGTGAACTCTGAGAGTTGATGATGACCAGGGAGGCCTGGTGTGCTGCAGTCCATGGGGATGCAAATAGTTGGACATGACTGAGCAACTGAACTGAACTGAAAGCAACATCCCTAATCAGTGTGCAATTCAACCTTCCACCATATAAATAAAGTAAAATACAGTATAATGTAGAGAAGTCTCCAGGAAATAAAGATATACCTGGTCTGAGAATTCCCACAGTACCCACCTCCGCTGCTTGCTTCGTTAACCTTCCTGCAGTCCCAGGCTTCAGGGTTGAATTCCGCTCTGTTCTCTCCAGGCTGACTGCGGGCTTCTCCCTAAATGAATTTTGTGGTCGTATAGTTAATAGAAAAACCACTACTTCACAAGTATTGGAAATTCTGTATTACTTCAGAGTTATGATTTTAAGATATTTTTCAGTTTAGAGATTCTAGGAAACATTTTGCCTATGAAATTTGTTTCTGTGATGCCATTCTGTCCTGCAAAAATAATGGCTGTTTTCTGCTTTTCAGACAATTGTTTAAATGCTAATGACAGCAATGAGTAGTTTTCAGGGGTGTATTCCTCCCTCTAAGAATCTTTTTTTTGATGTGTTTAAATATTTAGACATAGCTTTTTTAAAAATAGTACACAATGACTTCTAAGGAAATTCAACAGGCCTCTTCTCCTTTCCTTCCCCTCCCAGTCCTCCAGGCCAGAAGAAGGGCCCCTCAGCTGTTGGACTGTTTCTTCCAATAATTAGCTCCATATTTCTGAGAAAGCCTGTTGACAACACTGTAACTGCCAGTAATGTGATAGAAATCGGTATATTTTGTCCCTCGAAGCAAAATGTTACAGGAGAGGACTGAAACTAAAGGCAGGGATATGATTTTGGGGTAGAACAGTAGAGTGAACTATATGGGGCCACAAAGACCTGAGTTTGAATCCTGGCTCTCATATTTGCTGTGCAACCTTGAGCTAGTAAACTAGTCTGTCTGAACCTCAGTTTGACTGTCTATAAACTAGAGATGCTAATATTGGTCTCACAGTTATCAAGAGGGTTAAATGGAAAAGCATATGTATACATCTGGCTTCCCTGGTGTCTCAGATGGTAAAGAATCTGCCTGCAATGTAGGAGACCCAGGTTTGATCACTGGGTTTGGAATGACCACCCCCAAAATGGCTTTTTCCTTACATCCCCAAATTTTAACTCTTCTCCAAAGGTACAGTGTATGGGAGTGATGGGGAGGAGATGGGATATACTACCCGTTTTCAGTATTGTTCTTCTCCAAACTTTCAGCTCTCAGAATCTTAAACAGAGACAAATACCATGTTTCTCAAGAAAGTCAGTTGCAGAAACTGGAAGATGGTTGCATCATTCATTAGTTACTGAGACCAGCTGGCAATATTGTAAGCATTCTTGGGAAGCAGTTCAGTTCTCAGGGGTCTGCAGAATGGCCTTGTGGCTAGAAACTACTACAAGGCAGCCTCCAGGCCTGACCTGCAGGTTCCAGGACTGCCCTCCCGCTGTTATCACCAGGAGCACACCAGGCCTCGCTGGCAGCCTGGTTCATGCAGACACCAGCTAAGGATTTGTATTACAGAACTGTCATCAAAGTCAGTTCTTCAAAACCACCCCTTAAAGACCCAGTCCTTCCACACAAAGAAAGAATCTTACCCCTGCTGGACACTGCTTCTGCCCTGCTCTATCGTGCCCTGCTGTGGCTGCTTGGGCAAAAGCTGGTCCAACGCCTGAGATCCCACAGATTCTTCTAATGCAAAGGAAAAAAAGAAATCATGTTACTGAATATTTAAACCACAACTGCCTTCTATGGGGAGTGTAACGCATGAAAGGAGGGCTGGAGCCAGGCCTCGACAGCATTGGGAAGGTGGGAGCTCCAGTCTAGCACTGAGCCCAGCTCCCAGTTCAGTCAGTTCAGTTCAGTCGCTCAGTCGTGTCTGACTCTTTGCGACCCCATGAATCGCAGCACATCACGCCTCCCTGTCCATCACCAACTCCCGGAGTTTACTCAAACCCATGTCCATCAGCTATCTAGGTTGGTCATAACTTTCCTTCCAAGGAGTAAGCGTCTTAGCCCTCAATAAATTTTGGGATAAAAGGGGCTGTGGGGCCATCCTGAAAAGGGCTCCTCCTCCCGGAAAGAGAGATTTTGGAATTTCTGGGCACGGAATCGGGGAACTGTTGCCTCTAACCCAGATGGCAGAAGCCTTGGGGTTAAACCCAATGGCAGAAGCTTCTGTGGGCCTGGAGCTGTTCTGAACTCTACCTGCCGGACAGCAGCCGCGTCTGTTAACTCGGTAAACACTCGCGAGGGTCGCTGGATGCCTGGCCCTCTTTGACTAAATTAATAGCCAACGACCATTCCTAACTATTCACTTATTTCGGTTAACAAGCATCTCTAACAATGAACAAATATCTACGAGGAGAGTTGAAGGAAACCACGGTGACCTTTCTGGAGGTCCGAGGGCCTGCTGGGACCTGGAGAACGACCCCGGAAGGCTCCAGGCCCGGGCGTGGCGGCTCGGTGGGGAGAAGCCCCACGCCCGCGGCGGCCTGACCGGGCCCGGCTGCAAGTCTAGGAGCGGGCTGGGTGCCATTCGGCCCAGTACTCGCAGTTCTCAAGGCGGGCCTGACGCGGGACCGTGGGAACCCAGGGAGGCGGCGCCCGCCCTCACCCCAGGCGGCGGGGCTCAGGCCCATCCCGCTTGCTGCCGCCCCCCGCCGGTCCCCGGGCCTCGCAGGGGGAGACGCGCAGGGATAGTTCCCAGACGGCGCGGGCCGGTTGGCGGTGCGCAGGGAGGGCAGAGGGGCGCGGAGCCGGCACGCGAGCGCGCAGCAAACGGCGGGGGCGCGCGGCCAGAGCGCTCGGAGCGCCGGGGGCTCGGGCGCGGTGAGCACGTGCCCGAACAGGGGGGGCACCGATCGCGCGCTTGAAGGCCCAGGAACCTGGGGGCAGAAGGATGTTGAGAGGAAAGGCCGGAAAAAGCGGCGTGGGCTATTGGTGGGATGGAAAGTAACAAGCGTTTGCATAGGACTCAGGTGGAATCTGATGTGGTTGGAGAAGCTGAAGGTCAACGGTGCAGACAAGAGAGCGACAAATGGAGACAGGAGTTGAGGCCTGGTTAGGAGGTCTTGGAGAGGCATCTTATTGTTATTATGAGTTAAAATCTTGGGAGATTCAGACTAGGTAGATGCACAGATAGTCTTTTACAAACTTTTAATTAAATTATATACATATGTTATATATATATATGTACATATATGTATACACATAAAAATAATAATAATGGAATACATGTAGTTTTGAAACGATGATAATGTTACCACCGATGAATGCACCATCCAGGGTTTCCCAGTTGGCACCAGGGGTTAAAGAATCTGCCTGCCAATCCAGGAGATGCAAGAGATGCGGGTTCAGTCCCTAGGTTGGGAAGATCCCCTGGAGTAGGAAATGGCAACCTGCTCCAGTAGTCTTGCCTGGAAAATTCCCTGGACAGAGGAGCCTGTCCTCTGGAGCGGGCTACAGTCCACGGGGCTGCAGAGAGTCAGACACTGCTGAGCAACTAAGCAGCAGCAGCAATATACCATCGTTGGTAAGAACGCTGCAACACATCAATACCTAGCACAGATGCTCCTCCCGCCTGTACGTTCTTCCCTTATCCTGTCTCCCAGCCTCCTCCTCACCCCCACCCCTGATAGGTTACCTCTCTCCTGTCTATCATGCTCTTGCTTTATAAAACATTTTTTAAATCTCTTCTTTGTATTCCTAACACGCTGTTTCATTTTGCTTATTTGAAGCTCATAACACAATTTAATCACACTGTATCTTCTGCAATCTCTTTTAAAGTTGTCTCTATAATGCATTCACATTGCTATACAAATCTGTAATTTGCTTCCCTTGCTGAAAAATATTCCATTATGTGAATAGACAATTTATTGATCTCCTGATGAAATTACTTGGGGTTATTTCTATTTTGGATTTAGAAAAATATTGAAAAGAACCCAAACTGTGTCCTGGTGTATGCATGCAAGAGAGTCTATAGGATTTAATAGCTAGCAAGATATGAAAATATTCAACTTTATAGTAGAACACTGTCAAGGAACGTTTAACAGGAGGATTCCTGCATGCTGTTTTCTATTTCTCATAAATCCTCTGTTCCTTATCAGTTCCTGGCAATGGGAATGAGTGAAATGGCACGCTATTCCCAGGACTGAGGTCATAGGATGAGACATGCATGAATCCCCTTCAGTGACTCTTTTCAGCATCAGCGACCTTGTATGTATTAGACTATCCATATTGTGGCTATTGATAAATTTTCATCCTGTGTAATAGCTGAGTAATCATCTTACTAAAGATACATAAGCCTGCATTTCTGTTAATAAAGCACCCTTGCTCCATCAGAGCTTGGGTCCCCGTGTCTTTCTCTCTCTCTCTCTCTCTCTCTCTCTCTCTCTCTCTCTCTCTCTCTNCCCTCTCTCTTTTTCACTGTCTTATCATCGACTCCGGATCACCAGGTTTCGGTTCATTAAAGTGCCGCAACAGAACACTAAAACATTTTCCCAGTTGGTGGTACCAGTTCCACTTCCACAAGTAGTGGGTAAGAATTTTTGTTAATTTACATCTTTGCCAACACGTAGTACTATCTTTGGAGAAGGCAATGGCACCCCACTCCAGTACTCTTGCCTGGAAAATCCCATGGATGGAGGAGCCTGGTAGGCTGCAGTCCATGGGGTCACTAAGAGTCGGACACGACTGAGCAACTTCACTTTCACTTTTCACTTTCACACATTGGAGAAGGAAATGGCAACCCACTCCAGTGTTCTTGCCTGGGGAATCCCAGGGACGGGGGAGACTGGTGGGCTGACATCTATGGGGTCGCACAGAGTTGGACACAACTGAAGTGACTTAGCAGCAGCAGCAGTACTATCTTACTTAATTTTTCCAGGTGAGCGGATATAAAATAGTATTTCACTGAAGTTTTCATTTGCACATAACTGATCACTAATAGGGCTTCCCTGGTGGCTCAGATGCTAAAGCATCCACCTGCAATGCAGGAGACCTGGGTTTGATCCCTGGGTTGGGAAGATCTCCTGGAGAAGGGAGTGGCAACCCACTCCTAAATTCTTGCCTGGGGACTCCCATGGACAGAGGAGCCCAGCAGGCTATAATCCTGTGCTGTGTGTATTCACTCAGTCATGTCTGACTCTTTGCAACCCCATCAACTGTAGACTGCCAGACTCCTCTGTCCATGGGCATTATCTAGGCAAGAATACTGGAGCGGGTTGCCATGCCTTCCTCTAGAGGATCTTCCCAACCTTGGGATCAAACCCAGGTCTCCTGCACTGCTGGCAGATTCTTTACCATTTAAGCCACCAGGGAAGCCCAGGCTATAGTTCATGTGGTCTCAAAGAGCTGGACATATCTGAACAACGAAGCACAGTCACTAATAACATTGAGACCTTTACATATATTTGTTAGCCATTTAGACTTTCTCTTTCAAATGTGCCTGTTTGTGTCTTCTGCCCATTTGTCTTTGGAGTTGCACTTTTACTGATTTGTAGCTATTGTTTATAAATTCTCGATATTCATCTTTAGCCAGTCATATTTGTTTGCACACATTTTCTTCCAGGTCCTGGCTTGTCTTTTCACTCTTTTTATGAAATCTTTTGAAGAGAAATTATGGACTTTAAGGAAGCAGAATTTACCAATTCTTTCTTCTGAGGTCAGCTCCCCATGTCTTTTCATGAAGTCTTACTTTGCCTTGAATTCAGAAAAAAATATTTTTCTACATTTTCTTGTAAATTTTTTAAAACGTTCTTTTCATGCTGTCAATCTGGAATTGATTTTTGTGTGCATGTGAGGCAGAGATCCACTGTGCGTTTCCCTCATATGAATAATCGTTTATCTCAGCATCACTTACTGGTAGTTTCTTCCTTCCCTCCCAACCCCACGCCCAACCCCCACCCTCATGATGAGCAAGGCCACCTCTGTCACATGTCAGGTTTTCGTGAATGAGCAGGAATATTGTTGGCTCTTATTCTACTCCACAGGAAAATGTGTTTGTGCTACTACTGTTAAGGGAAACACACTGACTGAAACCTCCCACCCTGGCCAGGCACCATAGTAACCATTTGTGTGAGTTATTTTACGACAGGAGGTCCTGGCAAGGAACACAGAACTAACAAGCCACCACCAATGGGAGGAATCTGCGAAAGGTCAAAAGAACATACCACCTGTCCTACCACCTCCCAGAATCCTTCTCACTGCATCCATCTTGGCTAAGCAATGCATGTGCCACTAGGAAGGACCCTGAGTCAGAGTGACTGGCCAGAGAAAACCTGGAAACTAATCCCATCACCATAAAATTGGAAACTGCAAGCCACATGGCAGAGCAGTTCTCCTGGGTTCCCTTACCCTACCTCTCTGCCTGGGAGCCCCTTCCCAATAAAGTCTCTTGCTTTGTCAGTATGTGTGTCTCCTTGGACAATTCATTTCTGAGTGTTAAACAAGAGCCCACTCACTCTTGGACCCTGGAAGGGATCAAATGATTTTATCATATGATCTTAATTACTACACCTTTATGATAAATCTTAATATATAAATATCTTCAGATTCCCCTTATTCTTCCCCAGGAGTTTCTTGACTACTCTTGAGTTTTTGCCCTTCCATAAATATTTCAGAATCAGCTTGTCAGGTTGCTCAAAAGAGTGTGTCATCACCTTGATTGACATTACATTGAATTCATAAATCAATTTAGCAATTTTGAGATCTTTACAAAATTGAGTCTTCCAATCTATTACATATTATATCTCTCTTTTTGTTAGGACTTCTTTAATGTCTCTCAATAAAGTTTTATAATATTCTTCATAGATATTTGATCTTAGGTGTGTATTACATTTTTTTCTCTATTCATTTGAAAGTTTACACTCTATTCTTTTAATTATTGCCCTAAAAATTTTAACATTCATGATCAAAGGTTTAAAGTAATATCCTAAACACCCCTCTGAAGCAATGTGAGAACCTTGGAACACTTTCACTCCAATCTGCCCCTTCCATGCTATTTTAGTTCTGCCCTTTTTTAAAACCCCAAATTCACATTACTATTGTTACCATTATTATATATACATATATATGCTTAGATTTGCCTATACATTTGCCACTCCATTTGTTTATCATTCCTACTCACATCACAAACCTTCCCTCTGAAGCCATCTTTCTTCTTCCTAAAATATAGCCCTTTGAAGTTCCTATAGTAAACATCTGTGGGTGATTAACTCCTGGCTTGCTCCAGACGCTTGCTCCTTGGAACAAAAGCTATGACCAATCTAGACAGCCTATTAAAAAACAGAAACATTACTTTGCTGACAAAGGTCCATCTTGTCAAAGCTGTGGTTTTTCCAGTAGTCATATATGGATGTGAGAGTTAGACCATTAAGAAAGCTGAGCGCCGAAGAATTGATGCCTTGAGCTGTGGTGTTGGAGAAGACTCTTGAGAGTCCCTTAGACTGCAAGAAGATCAAACCAGTCAATTCAACAGGAAATCAGTCCTGAATATTCATTGGAAGGACTGATGCTGAAGCTGAAACTCCAGTACTTTGGCCACCTGATTTGAAGAACTGACTCGCTGGAAAAGACCCTGATGCTGGGAAAGATTGAAGGCAGGAGGAGAAGGGGATGGCAGAGGATGAGATGGCTGGAT